TATGACATCACAGATGACAGCCTGTGCAGAGTAGACAGGACCCCTATTTCTTTTTTCATTATTTAGTTATGAGTAGGAGAGCTGCGGTACAAGCCAGCAACGCGGGGTGGGGGATGAGAAGATTCCCCAGAGGCAGTGGGGAGCAGAACAGGCGAGCCACTGAGACCCACTGCTGAGGGGAGCCGCGGGGGACGCCAGGGTCTGTTGCACTCTGGGGTCCCTCCCTGGCCGGGGATCCAACATGCTGCGGTGGCTGAGGCTCACTCCTGTGCCCCAGGGAGGCCCGGCCCTCCCTTTCTGTCTGTTGATGCTGAAACCCTGTGTCACGGTGACTGTGCCCCCTCGGTTTGAAGGGCTGACACCACACTGCTGCGCCTCCAGGCTTTAGCAGATGAGAGACGGTAGCGGGTGGCTGGGACACGCAGGCAGAACTGAGTCTCAGCGGCTCGAGGACTGGCGAAAGTCAAAGTGCAGCATGTGGCAAAAGCTACCCTAAGCATGTCCTAAACTCCAAACACCACGTATGAAATCATGACACATTTATTGCATGCAACAGCGCTTTCAGAAGGCTAAGAGACACCTGAGGAATACATTGTGTAACTTCTGTGACAGGTTAAGGCCCTGGCCTAGAGGCCAGCACTCCACCTCGACGGAAGGACTGGCCAGTGGGCGGTGGCCTGGCGGAGCTGGGGACGGGCTGCCAGGCTGCACGGGGTCAGCCTGTGTCCACTGAGCTGCGTTCTGGGCCCGCGCGGCAGCTCTCTCCCGGGTCACTGACGCGCTCAGCAGGCTGGCCCGGGTTGGCCACACTCGACTGCAGTTGTCCCGGCTCCCCAAGGCGGCCCCCGCTGCCCCGTGCCAGTGTCGTCCACACTTCGGAACACGCTTCTCAGCAGTGTGCTCTTGTTCGCGTCCATGCTTGCGTTCCTCAGCTGCCGAGGGAACCATCAGGAAGGCGAGAGCTGCTTCGCAGAGCAATAGAGGACTACAGGTGTGCCGTCGGGGGAAGGGCGGCCCAAACAGGGTTAAGGCAGACATCAGCCGTTAACCTTTTACAGGAAACAAAAGCCTATCGCCTCTGGGGTTCACTTCTCTACCGGGCTACAAAGCAAAACAATTTATTGCTTTCTGCACATTGGCCTGACCGTCCAGAGCTCACAGGACTATAAACCATTTGCACTTTCGTCAGCGTGGTTCGTGCTGTGCCCAACACTCGGCGGGTCACACGCGGTGACTAGGAGAAGGTCTGCTCTGGGCCACTTTCTCCGCCACCGCGAGCAGCTGCATTCCGAGCGTCCGGGGTTGCCACCTGTGCACACCCCCGCCAGCTCGGGGCGGGCGCTGCGGGTTTGTGCTCTTGCTGTCGCCAGCTGAGTCTCAAGTAGCCCTGGGCTACTCGAGAGGGAAATCTGCGTTCTTGCAATCTCAGAGTTCGTCACTAGACCAGAGGAACAGAGTTTCCTTGTTTTTCTCTGACACGTGGGAATATGTCCTCAGACACCACAGATTTCCAGGGGGCTCTTTTTTTTTTTACTAGAATTAAGAATTCATTTCCATTCTGTGCGACGGCCCTGTGTTCTGTGCAGGCCGTGTATGACCTGGCTGGTAGGCCTGGCTGACTCTCTGGACAGTCCTGAGAGGAAACTGTGTAGGTCCTACCTGTGGGTCTCGGTTTTGAGGTAAGACTATGCAGTAACTGTGCACCTAGATAACAACATAGGCGAACGCATCTATTGATTAGGAGACAAACACAGACAAGAAGGCAGAGTCTATACGACCTTCTTTGCGTGCATCGTCAGAATGAGGGGCCTTCTGACTGCAAGGCTGAGGCGCCACGCTCCCCCCAGCTGTTTGGTTCCATGCGCGAGCCAGATAATAAACAAGCGACAGTCTTCTTGCCTATGTCCGTAGCCGCCCTGCGACGCTTCCCTCACATCTGTTCACCAAAGCAGGGCAGGAGCAGGAGGTGGAGCAGCCGCGGGGCACTCACGGCTCTGGCCAGCGCCATCGGGAGGCCTCTGGGCCCCTCTGCCGGGATGCACAGTGCGGGGCTGGCAGGCGCAGGCAGGACATGGCCCCGGGCCTGTGGGCGCACGACCTCAGGCGGGACCTGTGCCCCAGGCCAGCTGCTGAGCCTCGCAGCCCATGACCTCCAGCCGCAGGGCAACGTGGCGCACCCAGGTCTGGGGGTGGATTCTAAGGTAGCGCGTCAGTAGAGGCGGCTCTAGAGAGTTCAGCACAGGGGTGAAGGGGTCTTCGTTGCCATGGAAAACCTGGAAGGGGAGCAGGAACATAGGTTGGCTGACAGCACACTCAGGCCACTGGGGTCCTGCAAAGCACGTGAGAACAATCCAGAGAGAAGGCAGATGGGGAGCAAAGGCCTGTGGCCGGAGCGTGTGCTCCTGTGCCAACAGCTGCTCCACACAGCGGCCACAGCACTGCGCGGGAGCAGTGCGCCAGGACTCGGCCTCGGGGCGGGCTCGGCGCGGCGG